AGCTCCTCTTCTGGTCGGGGTGACTTACCTCATGGAATGTCCCAGACCTTCATCCTTGAAGGATCTGAACCTCTGAGCCTCCTCACAGGCCATGGTTGCCGTATTTTCCATTTACTACCAAAACTGGGTAAGAGAATACCTAAAGATGCCTACGTGGTTCACGTGGGTGGTAAACATAGGTCCCCTCCCCTGCCCGCCCTGATGTAGAAGAGCAGCCCTACCTCCTCTCTGTCAGGGTCAAATCCTGCCGCTAAGATGATGGTCTCCTAGCACAGGGAGTCCAAAGTGTCCTACCAGGAGCCAGCATTTAGAGTCCAGTGGGACTTTTGCTATGTCCTTAGATGGAAGCTTCCTGCTTTTGGAAATCAAGACCTCGAAGCCTGCAGAGCCAAGAGCTATGGGGAAGGGAAGTACCAAGCCTTCAAGGGGGTCACTGGGAGTAGCGATAAGCAGAGCCACACGTACTTTCACCCCTTGGATCCTGGACCCATGTGTCCTTCCTACTGGGGCACGGCTCCTTATAATGGTTGTTGATTTAGAAAGTACACTGCCTCCTAGAAGATAGTTCCTGATCCTCATAGATACCCTCCCCAAACCTATGCTACAGTGTTGCCTTCAACAGGCCATTCCATCACTCCAGCAGATGGCTTTATCTAGGTAGTGCTATATGAGATAGGATGAGTGTATCCCATTGCTGTGTCCCCTCGGGTGCACCTCCCTTGCCATAAAGTGGGTCCCATGTGTGACATGATGCGATGCAGGACACCTGTTGATCTATCAAATACTCCAAGCCCTCACTTCCAGTGGTACAAGCTGAGGCTCTGCAGACAGAAAAGGCAAACCCCGGAATACAATTTTTTCAAGTTAAAATGGATTTCTGCCCCTCCTAACGCTGTAGCTAACTTGCAACCAAGTGGATGATTGGTGATCTCAAAGGATAATGCCATATTCGGAATTATTCCCTGTTGGTTGACAGATCGCACATTTGGTAGCAGCAATAGCTATATTAGTTTGGTGAGTGGGAGCCAGGCTGTGGACCCATGTCTAGCCTCCAACATCCACCATGGCCATTGCATCCGTGCACCCACTGTGCCAGCATTGTGGTGGTGATGGATGGCAGTGGCTAGCTGATGTCAACTAGCCTAGTCCATCTATATTCTTGTTTGTTTAATGCCTCTTCTGTGTTGGATGCTCTCTGGTGGATGTTATACCTGTGATACCAAGATCTTCCTACTTCATGCCCATGCCCACAAGAATGCCTCTTCCCCAGACCTCCTTGTCTTCCAATCTTCTTTCTTCTGGCTCCTGACCATTTAGCCAAGACATTTGCCATTGCCCATGAGTTTGTGTATATTCTCCTTTCCCACAAAGTGGATGAGCAGGTACACCATTTGAAGCTATGGTCATAGGGAGGATCTCCACTGATCGGTGACCCTTGAGTAGGACTCGGTGCATAGCAATCCACTTTTGATTTGTAGCACGGACCAAGTCCACACATCAGTGAACCAAACTGGACCCTTTATATTCTCCATCAACGGGTCATAAGAGACCTCCACGCAGCCACAGGTGTGCAGTGAGGGAAAGGCAGTGCAGTGGTGGTGAATGATGACATGGGGTCTGGGCCACATGGTCACACCACCTACTTGTGCCCTGTGGCCCTGCTTATGTCCAATCCCAAGTGTACCCCTTCCATTTTTCAATGGACTACTTCTGGGCTTACCCCGTTAACATTATGACTTGTTGAGTCTGACCAAAAAAACGTTTATGATGGACAATTCTAGTCTCATAACCATTTGATGACCAACAGGCAGAATCCCAAAGCATACCAGAAGCTGCATTTCATAATGTGTACAGTCTATTCTCTGGACCCTCCTACTGAACTTGGTCATTTGGTGGGATTTCTGACCTTATGTGATATCCCCACTCTGTCATGCCCATTTCTTTGAAACTTTTCATCATTTCTGTCACCAACTACCATGGTGATTCATTTCTTCGTCATTTTATGTGGACCACTACTTTCTCCAAGTTTCTGGGAGCCATCCTAGCAGAATATTAGCAGCATGCTAGGATCCTTACCAGACATCCTGTATCCCAGATGAGTGACCCATATCAGTAAATTCTCCCTTTTATAATTTTATATTCCACCCACCTAGATCCAGTATTCCCAGAACCTAGTCCCTCAAATAATGTTCCAGACCCTGCCAATACCTGTTGGCTAGATCCTGCAATTCCTTCAAGTCATAGTATGTCTCCTCCCCTAGAAGAACCAGCACTTTCCCCAGCAGGGCCATGTTGGGATTTAATCCTATGTATTGGTCTGGCTGCCAAGAGAGGGGATGTGGGGACAGATCTTAAAGGGAAGGGGACGCATTTGTCTTGCAAGACTGAGGCCTCCGCTTCTCCTTCAAGCAAGAGAAGAGGGTAGTGCTAGTCTTTAACAGAGAGAAGTGGGCTACTTCTTGGGTTCAGAGGATTTAGGGGAATCTGGGGCCTCCAGATGTTCAAATGCATTAACTCAGATGCCGCTATCTCTTATCTCAAGGTCCTGCTCTTTCCCCATCAGAACCCTGGCCTGGCATGGTACACCTATCTAGGTTGAACATTCAACCTTTCCTGGAACTCTGCTCATCTTATGATTAAGTTCTAGCCCTGACCTTCAACTTTTTCTGCCCACTAACTACAAGAGTTGAGGCTCACTTTATATCCAATCCGTGAAGCTTTGTGGTTTTCACACTGAGCCTTTAATTGCTAGCTAATTACTCTCCTTTTCCAAAGCATTAATTGCCCCCAGCAATATAGCCATTCAGTGCCACTGTTCTTATAATTGCTAGTTCCCCATATTTGTCAAATGCCCAATAGATTCACCCACTAGTGCTTTCCCTTCCACCAGCATCCCATCCAAGGTCACCACTGCTACCTTGTGCCAGGATCTATCACTGCTCCTCCTACTCCTAGAGATGGGGGTCCTCATTACCAGTGGCTATCAGGTGACCAAGTTCCAGAATCCCATCTTAGATCTCCTTTCTCAGACCACTCCTGATACAAACTGTTTACGTTGGGCTCTCTGAGAATTAGACTTTGAATCAGAGATTTATGTACAGGATACTTATTAGTGTCTGCTCTAGGAAATCACCATTTGTAGAAGGAAAAGCAAAGGGAAGGAAAGAGGGTTTGGCCAAGGGAGAAGTTGGGCTACAGTGTAGTCACAACAAAGGCCTCAGCCAACCTGACAGAGACTTCTGAAGCTGGTTTGTGCGTAGAAGTTGTCCCAAGCTGGGGTGAGGTAGAAAGATCTTTGTCCCTCCTGAAAACCAATCTTTGGATACAGGATGCCCCAGCAAAGGGGCATGACTTGGGTGAAGAGCGTCACTGAAGCAGAGGCAATTAGCAGAGAGGGCTGACAGCTGAGGGCTATCAGGCAACAGCTCTCCTAGCAGCTGGAAGAGTAAACCCTTCACTCCTGAGGGGGACCTGGGGGCTACAGCATAGTGACTACTCAGAACCCAGTTCCACTTCTTATTAACTGTGTGACCGTGAGTAAGTCAGTCGTGGCCTCTGCGCCTTAGTTTCCTGATCTACAAAGTAGCTCTGTAATGACCTATAATGATCTACAATGACCACCTCGTAGGGTTGTCACAAAGATGAAATGAGATAATAATGTAATGCACCTTAAGACACAACCTGGCACATGATAAGCACTGTGTCTTTTTTGTAGCTATAAAAAGCTTAGGATTTGTATGGGAAAGCTAAGACTAAAGTATGGGCTACAGCAGAAGGAGTTGCTAAACTGTGGTCAGTGGGAGCTTAGAAGACGGGTGAAGATCAGGGGAACAAAGAACAGTTTCAAAGAGGACACGGTCAACAGATACGTGGAATTTAGAAAGATGCGACAGGAGGGGACAGCTTCCAGGTAACATATTCACAAGAGCAAAGGCCCGGGAAGCAGACAGGGCATTTGCAGGGCAGTGAGGAAGTCATCGGGGCTGCTACAGGGCTTCCTGCCCAGAAGCTGGCTGCGAGAAGAGTGGGTCAGGGAAGCTTAAAAATCCAGGCAGAAACAGCTGCTCTGAGACCTCAACGGACCATGGTACAGTTGGGCTCAGAAGCGGTGTGAGGCATGTCCCTGAGGAATGACACATCTTGGCAGGAGAGGGAAAGGGAGGAGGATGGAGACAGGGAAGAGAGAAGGACGAGGAGAGGCAGACACAAAGAGGAGAAACATGCCAAGGAGACAGAAAGCTGAGGACAAATTGGGATTAAAAGCCAATCCAGGGGTGCCTGAGTGGCTCAGTCGGTTAAGCGTCCAACTTTGGCTCAGGTCATGATCTCACGGTTCGTGGGTTCAAGCCCCGCGCCAGGCTCTGTGCTGACAGCTCAGAGCCTGGAACCTGCTTTTGATTCTGTCGCCCTCTCTCTCTGCCCCTCCCCTGCTTGCACTCGGTCTCTTTCTCTCTCTCTCTCTCTCTCTCTCAAAAATAAGTAAACATTAAAAAAAATTGTTTTAATAATAAAAAATAAAAGTCAATCCAGAGAGGAAAAGAGAATACCAGAAATGAAGAAGAAATGTGGACTAGTGCTTTAAGAAATGATGGTCTTTTAATTTCTGAAGCTCCTATACAAAGAATTAGTGTGGTAGAAACAAAATAACAATAATAGTTTCGAGCTAGGTCAGCCGTGTTACTTCCTCGGAAAACAATAGGAATACACTTATTAAGGGGCCCAGTGTTTTCCTATATTATAAATAGTTCTAAATTAACGTCCCTTCCCAAAATGCCTACTTTTCCAACAGGTGCAATATGACACCATCTGCCCAACAAAGGATCTAAATGTCACCAACTTCATAAGAAAATGTAATTGGCTGTTTAGGACCCTAGTTCACTATGATGATATTTAATAATTTGTACTTATAGAGCATGTAGGGGCATAAAATGAATTATAAATGTTAACTCTCTAACTCACACAGTAACTCCTTAGAAAGACATGAAACACGACAACTCCCCTTTTAACAGATCCATTCATTCAACAAACATTTATTGGCCTCCTGCATGCCAGGCATTGTAATGATGCAGAAATCTGGCTTCGTGAAGTTTGAGCGCCTGCTTCCCAAGCAGAAATGAGAGTCTCCCAAGAGCAGGAACCCTGACGTTTCCTCTCTGAAGTCCTAGGGCCCAGCACTGCACCTGGAAAAAAGAGAGTCATTGCATAAATGCATGCAGATTTTTTAAAAAAGTAAATACCACAAATTAGCTACAAGTCTGTGCTACTGTTATTAAAAACATAAACCCAGAGACTTTTGACCTCCGAGCCATTGTTAGCCACTGGACCTCACTTCCTGTGGAACCCGCTTCACCTCGTGCTCTTCAGCTCTGCCACACTGTAAAACATTCACCCGCCGACTGTTGCCAAATATGCCATTTCTGTAGCCCTTTGCATTTACTGGGGAAGAGGTCGAGGCTGGGCCCCACACTAAGATTTGCTTTTTTCTTAAAGATGTTGGCTTCTGTGAAGATTTTTATACCGAGCGGAAAAATAGAATTCTGAATCTAGAAATCACTCCAAGTCAATATCCTCTTGTTAGTCCGGGTTGGGTGTGGGAAAGTTCCACTTGGCAGTTGTGATGAATCACGAGGTCCCAACTACTCTCCGATGGTCAGCAGAGAATAGGAATGATTTGGACACCTGGCTTCTGTCTCGCTCAGGTCTGAATCCCCAGCAAGATTCTTCACAAGGTGTCTGGCAGCTTAACCCCATCTCCCAGGGTCCAAAACCTACGTGTGCCATACCAAAATCCTGGTGAAATGGCGAAAAAGATGAAGTGACAAGTTCGTGCCCGAATCTTGCACTTTCCCCCTGCCACATGTCAGTGTGGACGCCATTAAAGAGCCGGACTGCTAAAATCAGGAAGGAAGGGAGCCCTTTGCTCTCAGAACTAAGGCAACGGTGCCACCGGGGCTAGTCATGAAGCAGAATCTCTCCAAGGGAGGAGCAAAGTGACACCAAAAGGTCCAGGTGGCCCTCCCCAAGCCTGGGGCTATTGCCCTTGGGACATTCCCGGCAGAAGACCCATTTTCGCAAATGTCGAAATTCCGGCCCCAGACGCTCACTAGGCCAAGATACACCCTACATAAGTTACTGGCTATTTCAATTATTCAGGTTATCATCTCTGTTCTCCTTTTGCCCCCTGACTTTCTCAGTGAATGACTGTATAAACCTACTGCTCTCTAAAGACCTTCAAAGCGTTTACACGTATACAGTGTATCTGAAGAGGGCCAGAGAAGTCCAAAGAAGAGAACTTGCTTTCCTCATTCTTTAAAAAACATATCCTGTATCACTTGGCTGAAATTTACATCGGGAGGAAAAAAAAATAAAAAATAAAAAGAATCTCACAGTTTCTTTCTTCTGCTTTTCGGGGGAGGGGGTGGCATTGGCTGTCTACGGCTGAGCCCACAGTTGTACATGAAAGTTAATATTTCCAGGGCCCTGCGTGGGATACCTTTCCCAGAATTCATGTTCTCAATGGGAAACTGAAATAGCGCGTGAGAGTTACCCTAAGTAGATTTAAATAATTAAATTCAAAAATTCTCAAACCACTTGCTGTTTCAAATTTATTTCTTTAATAACAACTCAGACTCAGCAACAGACTGGATTAAGATTTCATTTATTCGAAATTTAAGGTATATCCAGCCCTGGGTGTTGTTTTTAAGTATTTAAGGGGAAATTTGTGCGTGGTGAAAATGAAGAGGCTGTAGCATTATAAATTCATTTCCTCTATTAGAAGCAGGGCCCCGCCTGCGCGCCGCAGCTGTTCGGGGAGGTAGTCCCGGCAGGCTGAAGGGCGCGCCGCGGAGCAGACGACCCTTTGTTTCCCCACGAGGGGAGATTTGGCCGGCCCCACACCCTCAGCAGCAACTATTTCCTCAGTGGCGCCAGGCAGTTGGGCAGAATCATCTGGGGTGGTTTTCATGTGGCAAAGCAAAGCATCCTCTGGGATTCCAGAGAGACTTCTGAGGATCCATTTTCATCCGTGACCTCAAATCATGCCTGGTACCGGGCACAGAGGACGGGAGGCCACGGTGGCCTGAGCCGAGTTCGCTGACCTCTGGAATAACCCGCCCCGATACAGGCGGCAAGGCAGAGAGCGACTCGGAAAGCAGGTGTTACATCGCAGGTAACAGCCCCACGGTACTTACTATTCATGCTAACAGTTTTACAAACAAGTGAGTTTCTTATACATTCATCGCCACCCCCAGGCATTCATATTCTTTTTAAGTACGGAAACCTTAATTAGATTTTGACCACAGACCCGGATTTGACTTACCCTGACAGGGTTTCCATTAGTGTAATCTGTGGGGGAATTCACTGTTTTAACATCTGTGTGCCTGAGGCCTATCTCACATTTACTGCAAAACTCTGAAAAGCCTCCCTTGTATGGCTGTATGTTTCCTCATGCTCCCAATTTCACAGAAGTCATTTCAGCACCAAACGGTAATTAGCAAAGGGATGGGCCTCAGCTGACATGAATGCAATTTATTGTTTTCCACGAGGCCCTGAACCAAGCAAACAAAGAACACAGTCTAGCTGTCTGGCATTTTATTAACTTGTATTGTGCAGTGCACCTTACTGAAGGGAGATCTTCGGGAGAAATTCAGCAGTTTGTGTGTGGCAACACGCAGACTTTGGAAGAATATTCATTTCGGTTCAATTAGGCAAGTTTTGTGGTACCTCAGTCTGTAATATAGGACAGCCACTTTTATAATTATCTTCCATATTAACTTTATCATCGCCAGACTTTTGCATAAATGCAACCTTTCATCTTTAAAATGCCAACACTTCTTCAATTTTGGCAACCGTACAGCACTGCTAATTATTTGCTCATTATGTGTGGTTAACTGATGAATCATTAATAAATGAATGAATGGCTAATATATTTTTATGGTAATTGGAGATATAACTGATTGCAGACTTCCTTAGCTTCTCAAAACGGCACTGAATGAGCAGTGGCTGCCTAATTGTTTACAGATGATATTTATGCCCCCACCCAGTGTTTCCCACAGTTGTGGTTTATCACTGGCATATTCTCATCAGTCCAGGGTGGCGGCTCGCCGAGGACCAGTCTGGGCAGAGGGGAGTGGGCAGCTGCATAACCGTGCTTCCTTCCCTTGTGTTTCTGTCACCTCGTTTGTCTCAGCTCAGCTGACACGTAGCCATGTATGGGCCTCAGGGCCACTTGCTAGCAATTCGAAGACTTCTCTTCTCCTGCGCGTCGGCGGGGCCACGGCCACAACACTGCTGCGGTTACCCCTAGTCAACAACATATAAAGAGTTGGACGCGGACACAGGACCACGCACGCCATCCAACCGCCACTTGCCTTGGCTGGCACGCCCCGAGGAAAGGTGTGGCCAGTGGCCACGGCAGCCTGGCATCTCTGCGGATGAGGAGCCGAAGGAGACCCTTTGCAAAGTTTGGTTACAAGCCTGCAGTTCAGTTTGCACCACCGACAGAAGTCCAGAAAATAAAATGGACCGGAGATGCTACACTCCGTTCCCTGACTCGCCGTTCGTGGCTGGTTAATGGGTTTGGAGGCAACTGCTGTGTTACAAAAATTGTATCCATCGTGCACCTCCGTTACCACCTATAGGTTAAAGACAAAGAGTCTGCATTTGTCGACGATTCTCGTGAAAATGAAAGATAGAATACTGGCCAAATAAGGCTTGTTTAGCTTTATACAAACAGACGGAAGATCAAGTTAAAAATGCAAAGGAGATTACCAATTCTTAATTATAATTATTTAACCAGGTGGGTAGTTTCTCCTAATGAACATTTCCATGAAAACAGAATAACTAATGACAGTCTTAAAGAAGCCTTTGTCTTTCCATGTACTAATGATCACATTTATAAATATGCAGCAAGGCCCCCGTGTACATTGCTAATGATAAGTAATTAAGCACCAGGCGTGGGAAGCCAGTGAAAAGGGTCATGTTAATGCAAGAGAGGAAATTAAAAATGCAATAAAATAAGTTGCCTAGAAAAGATTAAATAAACTTCTGGCTTCTCCTTCCAGAAAGAAAAGAACGGTTCCCCATTCTCACAGTAATGCCGTGTCAAGCCATTCAACAGCTGGTTAGAAAGTCAGACAGTACGGGTGTCAGCCTGCTCACTGCCCCCATCCCCATTTTATCCTACTGGTTTGCAGGCAGGGGGTGTGGCTTCAAAGGGCACTTGGGTCACTGGAGGAGGAAAAAGGACCCCTACAAAAGGCAGGGGTCGGCCAGCAAGGACGGACACCTGCCACTGTGAAATTAAACTGAACTTTGTTGTTATTGCTGATACACCACTTGCTTATGAAACCATACGAACCAGCCTGGGTTTTTCTCGTCTTTTAGACGGCAGAGAGGACAAGCAGGTTGACTTTTCCAACACAGTAGAATAACCTCGATCTCTCTTCACATCGTCTGGTTCCCCACCAGACCCCAAGCTCCTGGAAGATGAGATCATGACTCTGTGCGAGTAGACTCCGTATCCCTCACACCTAGCACTGCACCACACATACACTGAGTGCTTAATAAATGCTGGTTGGATAAGTGAGTGAATGAGTGTTCAGAATAGAGCGTCTCTAAGCCAAGTTAGCAGTTTGTGAGAGAGTCCTTTAACATCACTCCCAGACCAAGCAGCCCTGCCACAGAAAAACACTTGGGCCCCGTGGAAAGATGTGACACATTTCCCTCTTATTCAGGTCCTGAGAAACGCACCCGTTCTTTCTTCCATGTACCATCACCAAAAGGAACAGAAACGTGAGGCTTCAACAAAAAAATCAGTCTTTGCAAAACAAATCATACAGTTGGCATGAGACTCCTGGTTGGTGATTGACTGGGAATCCCAGCATTTCTGTTAAGCATTAAAGACACACAGCAGCGACCCGCGTCCCCCCCAGGGGCACCTGGGTGGCTCAGTCGGTTAAGCAATCAACTTCAGCTCAGGTCGTGATCTCTCTGCTCCTGAGTTCAAGCCCCCTGTCAGGCTCTGTGCTGACAGCTTCAGATCCTGTGTGTCCCTCTCTCTCTCTCTCTCAAAAATAAAAACACTAAAAAAAATGTTTTTTTAAATAAAAACGAGGAGAAAAGACAGAATGAGTAAGTGGACTTCTTGGCCAAAGTAACAGGACTCGTATCTGGATCTCCAACGCTCTTAAATAAGGGCAATTTGGGTTCTTTTTTAAAAGTGTCTTAGTGGGGCGCCTGGGTGGCTCAGTCGGTTAAGCGGCCCACTTCGGCTCAGGTCATGACTTGGCTCAGGTCATGATCTCACAGTCTGTGAGTTTGAGCCCCAAGTCCGGCTCTGTGCTGACAGCTCAGAGCCTGGAGCCTCTTTCAGATTCTGTGTCTACCTCTCTCTGTGACCCTCCCCCGTTCATGCTCTGTCTCTCTCTGTCTCAAAAATAAAGAAATGTTAAAATAAAAAATAAATAAAATAAAAGCGTCTTAGTGAAGCTCTTAAGCCACTGAAGATTTTTTTTTTTTTCTTTCAAACATTTCAAACTCGCTGATTTCCAGTCTCTCAAGGCTTCCACATTCCCTAACTCTTCTTTCTGGTTAATCCCTCAGCGAAGGCAATCTAATTTTCTGCCGCTGCAGTCCAGGGTTAACAAGAAGGCAACCTTGATCTGAAGAAAACAGCAGCGGCAAACAAAAATTAAACCGTGGTTGGATATTTTGGGTAGTGTTTCCTTTCCCCCCCCAGGCCGCCCTGCGCCCGCCTCTCTTTTTTCTTAAACGAGTTCTAAGAAGCGAGTCACAAGGCAGAAAATCCAAGGCTTGGATCTTCCCGGCCTGTTTTAATATTCCTTCTGAATTCAAATGAACCATTTCCTTTTACATAAAATCTTCGACAAGGCCACACTTCTTTTGTTATCAGAGCGTTGTCATCGGCAAGCCTGCTCGGCTCTCATAAAGGCAATTTAGTACCTGACGCGCGCGCGGGCCTAGATGGGCCTCGCAAATAAGGGGCTCCCGGGGCGCGGGGTGGGGGGGGGGACCCCGGGGAGGCCGGCCGGCTGCGGGGACACCTAAGGCGCGCCTTCCATCAACTTCTCAGGCGGGGCCTCGGTGTCTCGGGAAAGTCCGGCCCGCGGCAGGGACGCTCGGCAAGCGCATCCTGACCCCCAGCGGCCGGCCCCGTCATCGGACCCACGCTGGTTCCCACTCCTGCGGCTCCCCGCGCCCACGGGCCCCCTTCGCTTTAATTGACAATTAAAGCAAACTTCAGTTCTCACAGAAGCAACCGGGTGAAATTTCGCAACGCGAGTTGCACAACTCCATTCCCTCGAAGCAAAACCGGCAGTTCCCCCCCCACCCCCGAGGTTTCACTCCACACCTCTGCGTTGGTTGCTGAACTTCCCCCTCGAGTTTCTCTTCCCACACACACCGCTTTATTTCAGAGGCAGCCATGGAGACGGTTTCGGTATGTTTCTGGGGGTCCCCGCCTCGTGCCCGGCCCGGTGCTGAGCTGGCGGTGCCGCGACGCCCCGGTGCGATCGGGCGCGTTTCCAAGCGGAGCGCGGCGCCCACCCCCAGCCCGGAGGGGTGGGGGCGCTTGTGGCTCCTGCCCGGCCGCCGTCATCACACAACCCGGATAAGGCTTCCTGGCCTGGAACGACACGCAGTCACCAGGCCGGTGGTAGGGGTGCCCGACTGAGCAAGCAAAAGTGTGGCAGGCTGCGGCTCGTCGTTATACTAAAAAAATATTTGTTGTTTATCTGAAGTTCAGATTCAACTCGGGGTTCTCTATTTTATCCGGCAACCTCACCTCCTCGTCTAGTGGTTGTATTACTGACCAGCTGCTGACCAGACCCTTGGATAGTCCAGGGGGCCTGTGTGCCCCCTAAGAATTGAGCAAGGATATATACACATATATTTATATTTGTATATTTGTATATTTGAAAAAAATATGTATTTTTTTCAACCGTAGAAAAATAGAATGGGGTTCTAGAACCTCTCTGGAGGATCGGACCTCCCTGGGCATCGGCCCATGTCTCAGACTGTTAGTCCTCCTCCCTCCCCCTCTCTTCAGAGGGGAGGCAAGCCCCTGTCCTGAAGGGTCTCTTTCCCACAGTCAGCCTTCCAGAGAATCTGCCACCCGAATCCTTGGCCGCAGATGTTGAAACAAAAGTCATAAACAAGGTAATTTTAGGGGATACTAGATTAAACCGCAGCTTGGTCTTTAAGGGTTAGAAGTGCCTACATTCTCAACTGCCGTTTGTATCCACTGAAATGCTAAAAAGTTCAAAAACCGAGTTTTGGATTACTGTTATCTGTCTGCCATTAAAAAAAAAAAAAAAAGAAGGCTATAGCCTTGGGAATACTGTACGTATCTGTTACCAACAACTCTGAAAACCACCTCTGCGGGCTTGTCAGTTAAACCAAATGTTAAATGGAAAATATTTGGCGGGATTTAAAATTAGACCCACACACATTACTTACAGATGTTTCCATGAAAAACACTTGAAACTGAACCACACCAAGTAATAAACCCCACAATGGTGTATTTTTTATACCCCAAGTTAATTTTTATTATATAAGTAGCCATATGAAGAAGGTATTGCATACTGCTTAAATTAAATACGGAGGAATGAAATCAGCAGTATCCCTTTACAGCATATGGCCCAGCAAATCAAATTACAAAGCTTTCCACATCTCATTAACTGCAATGAGTACAGTGAGTTTTCTAATAAGTCACATCTTTTTCATGTGAGTGGTGAGCAGTGACTTATTGTAAGAATTCACAGGATGACCCTTGTGCTGAAATTAAGAACTAATCTAAAATGGGCAGGGTCATCTGGTCAAGACTGATCATAACATTTCCTCATTATTGTTTTAGTTGGCATTGAAGCATATGTTTTCCCGGTGCCCCAGCTGAAAAATGCCTTTGATAATTTCACTGACAGCAAATAACCCACACACTGCCATTTAATGAGTTCAGGCAGGATTAGCTGACAATAAAGAATATAGTATAAATGTTTTTATTAGAACTGATTTATTTTTTAGCTGCAAGAAGAAGAAGAAGAAGAAGAAGAAGATGTCACGTGGAAATGCTGGCTGACTTCCCCTTGGGATGGCCATGGTGGCAATGGTGCTGCAGGTAAAAGGCAGGAGTCGTACTGCGAGCCCACGCCTGGCCAAGACCATGCCTTTGGGCTGCAAATGGTGAAAGGAAAACACCAGCTGGAACCCACACTCAGATGTCGGGTTCCTTCTTTGCACAACAAGGAAAAAAACACTTCTACAATTGCTCATCATGTGGCCTTTGGCTGAGATGAATTACCAATTTACAACCTCTTGTGTTTGGAGAGAAGCAAACTGTGCTCTTCTGAGGCAAGAATCAGGAACCTAAAAATCATTCAAACCTTCTTGTTTATAAGGCCAGAGTGAGGCCAAAAATCCATTTCCTTCTGTGCTCTAAGCCCTTTCAATGACGAGTTTCTCACCATCTGCACTAATAAATATGGACTGGTGTGTGTATAACCATGCACGGAGGAGAAAGGAAGAGTGAAAGGAGTTTAAATGGTTGCAAATTGCTCTCCTGCTGAGATAACAGCAGTTTGCATGTGAGCCTCAGTTGTTACACATTAAGAATGGGCATTTGGCTTCTTTTCACACAGCTGTGAGAGAAGGGGTAGGTTTCCACCAGCGAGAAAAGAGGTCTGTTCTTAGGCAGACAGGCTTGCTGGTGGCATCTTGCCCAGAAGCTCTTTCTTCCCAGCTCCAACTGTGGGGACTGGAGACAGGATACGCAGATAAGTCCCGGAGCTGGGAGGGAGGGGATCTTTGGGACCGGTGAGGTGAGCCCTGAGATGGGGACCATTCACCCCAAACCTCAGCAGAGACCAAAGGTATCAAAACGGAGGCAAGGCCAGACAGTTGATGTAGCCAGCATGTAAGAAAGTGATCCTTGGGGCACCTGGGTGGTTCAATTGGTTGAGAGTCCCTTCGGCTCAGGTCATGATCTCACAGTTCATGAGTTCGAGCCCCACATCAGGCTCACTGCTGTGAGGTAAGAGCCTGCTTCTGATTCTCTGTCCCCCTCTCTCTCTGCCCCTCCCCTACTTGTGCGCTCTCAAAAATAATGAATAAACATTTAAAAAAAAAAAAAGAAGAAAGTTATCCTTGAGGTCAAGGTGGACTGCTGGAAAGATCTGAAAGTTTAGGACATAGGATAATATGTCCCGGGAATATGCAAAAAAACACCATTAAGAAAATGGTGTATGGGGTAGCAGGGCCTGGCAGGGAGGGCAGCATAGGAAAGGCTCTCACGGCTGACTGAGACTCAGAGGTGTCCTCCCAAACAGAAAGAAGTGACTCCTTGTTCGCAACATAATGTAGTGTGCAGTTATGGGAGCTTCCAAGAGACTGCCCGGTGAACTACGGAAGAGTCACAGGAGTGGAAAAGCAGCCACGTAAAAGTGCTCCCTGAACATCTGTCCATCAGAAAGTGCACTTCGGTGAATGCTAAGGAGCATGAAAAGACCCTTCAGTCCAAACACCTAAATACATCCTCCAACAGAATGCAGACTGCTCCCAGACGGGAATACGGAACCCGAGTCTCATACCTCCCCTCTCGGGCGATGAGAATGTGCGGGAAGAGGACCGTAGGAAGCAAGGGAGACTCTGAAGCACTGCGTTCGAGGGAGGAGACAGAGAGCAGGAACTGGAACTGAAGCAGAGGGTCAGCCACTGAGCCCAGGCTACAGTGGGATCAGGTTTGGAAGACGGGCGAGAAAGATCACTCACTAAGGAGGGGAGATGCTTAAGAAGCAGAGCAGCTATGGCTCGAATGCCTGGGTGGCTCAGCCAGCGAAGCAGCCGACTCTTGATTTCAGCTCAGGTCATGATCTCAGGGTCGTGAGTTTGAGCCATGCATTGGGCTCTGCACTGGGAGTGGAGCCTACTTAAAAGAAGAAAGTAGAAGAAATAAAAAGAAAGAAGACGACGAAGAAGCAGCAGCAGCTATGGCTGGGAAGGGAAGGAGCTGTTAAGGGTGCCAAGCCTTCAGCAACACCCAAGACAAAATGCTGAGGTGGGGTGTGGGGGAGTTAAATACAATCCTTGGTATTAAACACAATCCTCCTCACCCAATCCCTGGCGAGAAGGAATTCGTAGTTACCACCCAAAGCAACTGTTCAGGAAAACGGTATGCGGTTTACCTGTGGTTTCTTCTACGTCTTCAAAATGAAACCTGTATTATCATCTAATTTCACCCTTCAGTTATAATGGAAACTGCCAAGCACTTGGTTACACAGACCCTGGCTACTTAACTAGAACCTAGACGAGGACAATCCCTGCGTATTGCTAGGTAACAATAACAAACTAACTAATATTTGCACAACTTTACAGTTTACAATGTGTTGTCATAACGCTTCTCATTTGCCCTTCATTACTTTGCTCTGAAAGAGGCAACTTGGCCGTAGCTAGGAAGTAAAAGAGCCAGATCTCAGAACCTGAGTCTTCAGATGCCAAGCCTGGTGTAATTTTTATTACAGCAAATAGCTTTTATGTACTATTAAGATAACACAAAAATGCTCTGGCTGTCTGAGGAAATATCCATGTTCTGCTCTTGAGAGACTGCATTCAGGGCTTGAGGCAAAGTTCTCCAGAAGAATCCACCCTCTCCTAAGTTCCCTCAGAATGCCTCTAAATCTAATGTATGCGATGGTCTGCCTTTATTCCTCCCTGACTGGCACAGACAGGACAGTCTTGCCAAGATGGCATCCTTAAGACAGATGATTGGTAGGACATTCCCCTCACCCCACCCTTGGTAGCTGCTTATTGACTGTGCTTGGTTGCTTTGGGGCTGAAAGAAGAACATAAGAGCGGCATCTGGGTGGCTCTGTTGGTTAAGCATCCGACTTCAGCTCAGATCATGATCTCATGGTTCCTGAGTTCAAGCCCCACGTCAGGCTCCGTGCTGACAAATCAGAGCCTGGAGCCTGCTTCGGATTCTGTGTCTCCCTCTCTGTCTGCTCCTCCCCCGCTCACACTCTGTCTCTCAAAAATAAATAAACGCTAAAAAAAAAAAAAAAAAAGAACACAAGAAAAAAAATCACGTACACGCTTGAATGACAAACAAAAGGACCGTAATAAATGAATCCACGTAGCTCTTAACGCAGCATCAGCCAAGGAAACAGCTCACAGGAACCGGAGTGGAGTTACCGGGTGGTGCCCTCCATATGTGCCTTTGCCTTCCTTCTCCTGTGTCTTCCTCTTTCTGTCCGTCTCCACCACTGGTAGTGCTCAGGATATAAGTCGCTCTCTAAAGAAAATAGGAAACTCTCACTCCTTTCTGCATTCTTGCCCCCAACTCCAGCTGGTGAGCAGGGCCCAACTTAAAGAGGGTTCTCGAAGAAGAAAGATATAAAGGCTCCAGATGAATGTTAAAGGTTAGTTGTGCAAGTAGATTATAAAACTTCTGCTCCAAGTAGGAGGCTTTGGAGGCCTCGTCCTCTACCGTAGTTTCTAAAACTTGGTATTAGACACTCCCCTCCCGGTTACCCAAAGCAACCAAACATCGTACAGACGGCCCAAGGCACTTTATGCAGGTAATTGACGTAGGCATTATGGTAATGAATAGGAAAACAGTTTAAGCCTGGGAAAACATTCCTCCTGGTCATATTCTTCTTTCCCAGACGTCCCAAGTGCTACCATTTGGCCCCACGCTATTACCTATAGCCTTCCTTCATTCCAGCCAACAATGGCTTCCAGCAATCCCACAATTCTCTTCTCCGTCACCTCCAAGCTCCAACCCAAGATACCCCCAGGAGCACTTCCTTCATGTTTTCTGGGCTTTCCCATCTTCCTTTGAAGTTCCTCTCACTGACTCTGGGAAGACTTCGTAGTACTGTATTCCCCAAATTGCAGATTGGCAAAGCCTTGACAAGTATCCTGTTTATGTACGGAAAAATTAACAATCATTTACAGGTTACGATTCATACAGTCTTAGGGGCTGAAAGGGACACTTGAAGCAGTATTTGTCAGTTTGCAAACATTTCTCTGGCTTCTGACAACTTCCATCTATACAGTGAGGGTTCCGGGCCTTTGTGTCTAATGTTCTAGAAGCTACATAGTTGGCGTTCCAGTGCAAAAACCTGGGCCATAGGTACAGCTTCCTCCCTTCTCATCCACACTCTTCATTCCGTCATGCTGTGTGTGCATGTATAAACATGAGCCAACATGCCTGCCTTCACTCTATCCGAATGCTCATCAATTTGAGACCAAGGAGCAATTTTTATCCTTATACCTTAAATACTTAATATCGGATTGGCCACTGAATCATATTTTCTTAATTGCAAATGTAAACACTCTACCTTATCCACATTTGTATCCACCCACCACAGGCCACCACCCCCTCCTTGGATGTTTTGCATATCCAAGATGCTGGATAAAAGCTTTTGAATGGCAAAATGAATGAAGAACCTTTCATATCTGGTTATTTCAATGAGTACCACTTGCCAGTTGATTGGAACTAAAGTCCCTAATTTTCAAGCTAGGTTTACCTTCCAAATGTGTTCTCCCATGGTCTTGGCTCCGCCGTTAAATAGCTGTATCGCTCAGCAATTACACAACCTTGCTTTACCTCCGTTTCCTCATCTGTAAAACGGGGATAAAAACTGTGCTTGCATGAAAGAATTAAATGAGGAAACCCATCAAAGCCCCAAGAACAGTGGCTAGCAATATGTCACAAAATGCTCAATAAAGGTGACTACTGTTCTTTTAAACTTTGTCCAGCATACGCTTCATTACAGATCACTGTGATTCTTGTGTAATGTGTCGACTTCAAAAAGACTATAAGCTCATGTCTGTCTTGGTCTTATCCCCAGCGTGGTGGTCGGGTAGGGGGTAGGTGGTCAATAAATGTCTGAAGGCACCCATGCAAGCATGGGAAGGCACACATTTCCACAGCCTTTTTGGGTGCTCTGAATGACAGTGTTGATGCATGCTCCTACACCATTCAAGATGCAGGAGTGGTTAAGATGCCAAGTGGTTAAGAGCACAGATGGCAAAGCCAGTGAGAAAGGACATGAATCCTTGGCTCCACTACTTACCAGAATGTGATCTTACGTGACTTAACTTCTGTGCCTCATTTTCCTCATCTGCAAAAGGGGAATAATAATAATAGTACCA